GAATCTTTTCATACATTAAAAAGTACTAATTCAATAAAATACTCGGATATGACACAACTTATCTACGATATAAGATTTAGCAGTTTAGAAGTCAAAAACCGTAATAAATTCTCTGTCACTTCTGTGTCGTTTTTTCCTCCTTCTTCTAGTTCGCCCTGTGAATATGTTTTCTCCTTAGGAATCATTTCTATGTGTTCTTTCTACGCTTCTCTGAAGAATTCTCTTTTTATACGCTGTTCGAATAAAAGAAGGGGAGGGGAAAAAAGGTTGCTGAAATTGTGGTAAGATCGATTACTGTCGGTCAATCAATTTTTAAAAACCAGGAGGATGTTTTTCATATATCACTTATATTACAGCTATTGTCTCTGTTTAAATTATCGAGATGTTTCTGTATTTCTCTGTATTTTCTTGGAAAATATGAAGTGGTGATAGCGATTGTGATTGTTTGATCAAGCAGTATTTCATGTCCTGTCTTAATATTATGTTAGAATAATGCTCACTATGTGGTATGTTTTAATTTAACATTACTGTACTTTCATCCGTAGATTTTTTCTTTTTCCCAATAGTGTTGCTCATTTATAGAATTTGTAGAATACTTGAAGGTTTTTTTTTATACCGAAGAGAGATTTTTTTTGGGGGGTATAAAAAGTTTAGGAAATTTCAAGATGCCTTTTGGAGAAGATAATAAATACAAAAAAAAATTTAAATTGCATCTAAAAAGGTCTTTACAGTTCCTCATTTGTCTTGTCTTTTTTACAGGCTTGAAGACAATTCAGATATTTATTTAAGATTCTATTATCCGATACACACACACATACAATTCCTTCTACACGTAAGACCAGGAAAGATTCTCTTGTCTGCCTTATCGTATGATGGCTTTGTGTCAGAATTTCTTGCCTTGTTTGTAAGTCTACTGATTGTTACTTTATATTTTTTTAATTCTTAATTATTATATTTTTTGTCGTATCTGTTTTAAATGGTTAAATTTTGTCTATAGGTGTTGTTCGTCTGACATGATGTTCTATTATGTATAGTTGATTGCTGACTATTTTTATGTTGGATGGTAATATGATTCAGCATGTAAGTGATCATTTTATTTATGTCCTTTTGTTGTGTCCGTTTTATTGTCAGGCTTATTTCAAATGGTTAAGTTTTATCTGTAGATATATCGTCTAATATGCTGTATATACAAGTGAGTTTATTGCAGATTGGTTTTGTGCTGGATGCGACTCAATATATAGATGTTGACCACAATAGCCGCCACAAACAACCATCTCATATTTTCTAAGGCAGACAGAGACAGAGACTAGAAAAACATCCCGATAATATAAACAGAGACAAAGGCTGTAAATGAAAGACCACTCTTCGGTTTTCGGAAATTGATCTGCCGAAAGTAATCGCCTTCATCACAATCTCAGCGACTTTCCCTTCTCCCTTCTCCTTTCTTATATTTTACAGCGTATAAAAAGAAACCGCCCTAGAGAAGCGATTCAGTATCAAGTTGCTTTTCTTCCTGATGAAGTAAATTGTAATTCACAAAATGTTGGCACTTACCGATATATCAAGGCACGAAGATAAATGGTGTAATTCGTTATTGTACTAGGAATAAAAAAGAAGAAATTTCATTAGAAATTGTAGATGTAATTAAATTTTTTTAAATTGTAAAAAATCTGAAAGATTGAAAATAGGAGACAGAGAAGTTCACAAACAGTATTATAAAAAAAATTCATTGAATATTAATACAGAAATAATAAAATGAATGCTAAATATTGAAGTGAATAGAATATAAAATGCTGATTAAATAAAATAAAATTGAAGTCTAAAAAATTAAGCTCTAAAAAAATTATATTTACTAGTTAAACTGTATTCTAAGATTGCAGCTATTTCTTCATCTTCTCAAACACTCACCAAAGATTTCGTCATAGTTTTCCACATGTGTATCGTGTATCCTTTAAGACCGACCATTCTTCCCGTCATGCTCGATGGAACATCCACCTTAACTTTCGGATCCGCGGAAATTTTCTGCAGGTGTGCCAGTATGTCTTCCTTGAGCACTCTTCCATCCTTGCCAGTCGCTTTTACAGCCGTCAGCTTTATGTTATTCTCTTTGGCTATCCTCCTCACCGCTGGGGTTGACAATATCTTCTCTTCTTTCAAGGTGATGTCCTCTGATTCCACTGTATCTGATCTTCTCTCGCTTTTTTCTGAATTGTCAATCGTTTGATTTTCAGCGCTCTTTGCGGTCTCACCTGCATCGTCTCTCACGGCGTCTGTTGAGTCGTCTTCTATCTCAAAATCCAACAGCGTTGATCCGACCAACGCGACGTCGTCAATCTTGTAGTGCAGAGTCTTGATAAGGCCATCGTAGCGACTCGTGATTGTCACCGAGGCTTTATCACTCTGCACCTCACAGATGTCATCGAACTGCTTCACCTGATCTCCCGGTTTCACGAACCTGAGGAGAAGTTAGCCGAATTTAGTATGGAGACGAAAATTTTTTGGATAGATTAAAAAATGCCAATTACCGAATTGTTAAAAAAGAGTTTTGAACCACTCTTTAAAAAACAATTACGAGTATTACCCAGTCGACACAAATTAAAAGTATGAGTTATTGTTATTTTTAATTAATTGTGTCGACTGCATAATAATTGTTTTTTAAAGGATGATTCAAAACTGAAATTTAATTTCAAGGATTCCATCATACAGTTTAAAGCCGGATAAATCTGTTGCATCTTTTAATGTATACTGTATTTATCGCGAGAGGAAATATTTGCAGATTGTATCAAACTTTTCACGTACCATTCTTTCACTGTGACGTCTCGAATTCCCTCGCCGATGTCCGACAATTTGAAGGGTACTACTTTTTTGGCAAAGAAGAACGAGCTGACAGACAAAAGTCGTCGTATTGGGTCGCGCGATTGTTCGGCCTACGCAAACAAAAGTTTCATCGATGGTAAAAGTTCCATCAACAATAAAAGCAATAAAAACAATCATGTCATTGGCAATGATGGATTAACGCATAGGTAAACAAGGCACTTGCCTAGGATGCTAATTTTTGAAGAAAATTTTCACATAGTTGAGATAAATTTTTAATTTGTTAATCTAACGTTTTTGCACGAGTTACATCCAGTATATATTTTATCAGAAACGATATTTTAAATATACAGTTAAAAATGTATTATGTTTATATTACTTATTAAGGATTATGTTTTTACCAGCTAATGCGGGGGTAATATAAATAATATAATATATAAATATAATATAATATAATATAATAATATATAAATCGGTTTTTTTTATCCATTTTCCCTTTTATCAAATTTATAAATTAATAAAACCATCCGAGGGCAGGATTGATGAAAAAATATGTTTAAAAAAACATTCAGTTTTTTGTTTTTAATGTTTTAAACAGCTTTAGAAAAAAAATCATGTTTAAAATATAAAAAAAAAACACGCATTTTTACTTTGAAGTATCTTGAATTATTTCTGAGGTACATTTTAGCATTTATAATTATCTACTTCCTCATTTTTCTTAAACTTGAGCATATTATTATATGAATATCAATATATTTGAATGTGTTATTTGCTATTTAACATTTTATTTGATTGTATATATTTTAAGTTATGTAAATTTAAACAATAACACGGCATTTTGCTTATGTGGTCCTTTATGCGCATTGATTACTCACGGCTTCTTTTTTGAGATTTTTATTTCAATATAATTAGTCTTTGAATTAATTGTAATTCTAATATTAATCTATAATTTACGTTACTATTGATTTTTATAGACTGCCGATCTGCTTATATATAAGGTGTTTGAAAAATAATGATAAATCTTTTGCATAGGGGCAGCATGGATTAAACTGAAAAGAAAAGTCCTCTATCATTTTGCTATTTTTGTTAATAAGATATTAATTGATAAAAATTGCCTAAAATTGGCTTCAATCATTTTTACTCAAATACTATCAACTTTACAGAAAAACTGCAAAAGATAAAAATTGTTTATTTTCTTCTCATAGAACTCTACAAATTTTTTCAGAATTTTTTTATCAACTTTTTATAGTACTGCATTTTCTCATTTTAACCAACATAAGAAAATACGATATTAAAAAATTCTGAAAAAATTCTTAAAGCTTTATGAAAAAAAAATTAATAATTTTTGTCTCTTGCAGTTTTTTTGTAAAGTTGATAGTATTCGAATAAAAAATTATTTCCAGCAATTTTTAGCAATTAATATCTTATTAATTATTGCGAAAATAGAGGACTTTCCTTCTCAGTTTAGTCCATTTTGTCCCTATACAAAAGATTTATCATTATTTTCCAAATACCCTGTATACATAAAATTGTATGTGTATATACATTTGTATACATGCATATATGTATTTCTGCAATACATTCTACTTTTTTATTAATTTTATAACCAAATTACTGTTTTCTAAGCAAAATTAACTTTTTAAGAAGGCTATATTATTATCCATGTTTCTCTTCGATTCGCCATTATGCAATGTCGCCACATTTTTATTAATAGTGTCCTAAGTAATAAATATTTCGTAATTTTGAGTCCAGAATCGATTTAACAACATTTTAATGAATGTAATTGTCAAGTTTTAAACTTAAATATTCATTATTAACCAAGTACACCAAGTTATCGTGTAAAATGTAATTGAAGCATCAGCTTTTCTACTAAATAGTATTAAAAACATTTTTTTAAAATAATGTTTTAAACATTTGTTTTAAATTGTTTTAAAAAAAGCATGTTTAATTTAATCTGATGTTTAAAACATGTTTTAAACATTTGTTTAGAAAAAAAGTTTTAAACAAAACAACCCTGTCCGAGGATAGCTAGATGTTGGTGCCTAGGGGCGGTAAAATGCTTAATCCGTCACTAGTCGTTAAATATAGAGAGATAATAGTGAGATACATGCAGTATCTGACAAAAAGTAAATTAAATTAAACTAAAGAAAAATACAAAATATTAAAAATGTTAAAGAAAATCTTGCGAAATAACACGACAAAATAGAGTAGACCACAATAAAGGTGGAGAATAGAAATAACAATTATATAATTGAAGTATTGTATATACTCTAACCGATTAGAATGGAATAATTAGTGCTCCGGTTTTAATAGTTTTGAAGGCAGTTTGCTGCTGAATTTACAGTAATGTATTTTCACTCTCGTTCTGTTGATTTATTGCTTTACCAGTTTCTGTTGATTTATTGTTCTAAAAGCTGTTCCTTTCTTACATTTCTTTTTTTAGCCTAAGAATAATCTGGGATTTTGTATCCCTGTACCGAGAAAATAAAGCCTAATAGTTTTCTTTATTGATTGAGAATCAATATTTATTTTTTTATTTTTCTTTATTTGTTTTAGAAAATACGTAAATCTATAAAT